CGCGTTAAAATGCCGGATTGCAAAATGGCAACATGCAAGAAAGATCGCACGTTATGAGTTGCGCCGTCGCGACATCACACGTCCAAAGTGATGTAAGGTGGGGTGAGGCGATGTGGTGAGGTCCGTTGAGGTGAAATGAGCGGGGCTAGGAGGGGCGGGGCGTGGCGCAGCGCGGCGTGGAACGGCGTGGGTGGTTGTGGTGTGGTGTGGCGTGGCGTGGGCGTGGCGTGGCGTGGCGTGGGTGGCGTGGCGTGGCGTGGCGTGGCGTGGCGTGGTGGCGTGGCGTGTGGCGTGGCGTGGCGTGGCGTGGCGCGGCGCGGCGCAGCGCGGCGCGGCGTGGCGTGGCGGCGAGGGGCGAGGCAAAAAAGACGTTAAGTTAAGGTTAAATTTTTAGGTGTCGCCATCTAGTTGATAACCATTACGGCATGTCGCCGTTTTGCGGCCTGTCATCTAGCATTCGGCATAAAATAATAATCGTTATATCTGCATTACGCTTTTTGTAAAATACATTTGGAAATAATGGAAAAAACGCGTTTTTCAAAAAACTGTGCTTATGGCGACAATTCCCCTCTGTGTGTGATCCAACATGGCGTCAATCAAACATACCAACATGGCGTCATCGAGGAGCCCTGGAGGCAGCCACCGGGTCTGACTGCGCTGCGGCCAGCTCCGGCGCAGCTCTCGGGCGCCAGCTGGCCGATCATGTCGAGCAGGGTGTGCGGCTGGCCGTCCTCCGCGCACGGGCTGTACGGGCCGCTGCACGTACGGCTGGCCCCGGCCGGTACAGGCGCACCGGCACACTACGGAAGCGCTTCCTCCGGCGGAGCCTCCATCAGCCGGCGGTTCACCGACCAGAACTGGTCGAACTTGTCTGCAGGCGACCGAGGACCGGGGGTCAGTCAGGTCAGGGCGGGACGAGCCGACGGGGGGGCCCGGGGTCTGCCGGGTCGAACGGAGGCCCGGGGTCAGCCAGCAGCCAGATCAGGGCGTGGCGGACGAGCTGACGGCGGAGGCCCGGGGGTCAGCCAGGTCAAGGCGGGACGAGTCGACGGAGGCCCCGGGGTCAGCCAGGTCAGGGCGGGACGAGCCGACGGAGGACCCCGGGTCAGCCAGGTCAGGGCGGACGAAAGCCGACGGAGGACCCCGGGGTCAGCCAGGTCAGGGCGGGACGAGCCGACGGGGGCCCGGGGTCAGCCGGTGTCAGGCGCGGGATGAGCCGACGGAGGCCCCGGAGTCAGCCAGGTCAAGCAGAGCGGGACGAGCTCACGGAGGCCCTGGGATCAGCCGGGTCAGGGCGGGACAAGCTCATGGAGGCCCACGGGGTCAGTCAGGTCAGGGCGGGACGGGACGAGCCGACGCCGTACTTCCCCGGCGTTGATGAGGAAAGTGACGACCCGACACCGGGGAGGACCCCAAGCGCCGGAGACGCAGTCGGGCCGACAGGGCCGAGGGCCCGGTCCCCCCCCCCCTCCTGGGACCCCCCCGCGCCCCGTCCCAGGAGGGGGCCCTTACCGCGCAACAAGCAGTCGGGAGTAGACCCGTCAGTGGTATGATTATAGTTCCCAGCGAGCTGTGATGCCTCCCATAGGTCACGACACATCCGTAGAATCCCATTGTGAACAAATGAGAAATTCAAGCGCAGTAGTGTAGTAGTGACATAAAGAACACTTCATAGGTCCTTCCCATTATTGTCTACGAACACAGCCGCCCGAGACGAGACGGCGCGAAGGCGGCCGGCCCCGCACGCTGCACGCTAACACCCGTCAGTCAACGCAGGCCACGCGCCGGACCCACCGCTGGCAAGGCCGGCCCACAGCTGGTTGTGGTCCCGCTTGCCCAGCGACGACATCACAGCGCCCTTGTGCTTCAGCTGGTCGGCCTCCTTTACCGATGACAAGAAGAAAGATTCCAGCGCCTCCCTGTGGCAGAAAAACCTGGTCCTGTAATCGGTCTCCACATCGGTGGACTATCCGGCCGGCGTATGCAAAGGGAGCTGGAATCTGATAAGATGAGCCTAGATTCACGATGTTGTACGCAACCTTCCACTTAGAGCACAAAATATCAGCTGGAAGTCACATGAAATACAAACAATTGCCGACTCCGCGTCACCGTCCCATCGACATGGCAGCTGATTGGCCGGGAAGCTCTTATGACGTCAGTCATGGGCCGTGACAAACTGGTAGCAGATGTGCCGTCCCCTCAGGATGTGTGCCGGGGCGGAGACCCCTGGATCCGGCAGCACGAGCATTCTGCACGCACCGTTTCATGACGCACGCCTCGTCCGTGTGGCTGGTGAAGTGGACGGCCAGGTGCCAGGGCAGCGCCGACTCGGTGCACAGCAGGTCAAACTGCAGGCCCACCGGCTGGTGCCTGCAGGTCCCGTGATCCGGACATCAGGCCAGGGCGCGCACCCACGGGCCCACATGCCCCGGTCACGCCAGCATGGGGCAAGCATAGCAGATTTGAACACAATGCATAGACGGGAACGTGTCCGCCCTCACGGCTCGATCGGTGGGAATCCCTGTCTCCCACCCCAGCTGCTGCGGGGGGTGAGTGGGTTGAAGTCGCCTTGGCACCTACAGTTTGCCTCTGACTGGAGTGACCTGCGGTCTGTACTAACGGCCGCTCAAGGTCAGACGAGGTCACAGCGCAAGACGGACCGTGCCGAGCATTGCGGAACAGCAAACGTTCGCCGCACGAGTCTGCCCTTAAACTTGAAATTCACGATCCACTGATGGGGTCAGAGTTCACGACAAACAACGGCTAGCATAAGTTCTGTTCTCAGAAATCATACAGTGAAAATGTTCAGACTGTATTACTTTTTCGATGGCAGGCACGTACCACCATGACCAACAAGAAGAAAACCAGGGTGGCTTAAAAGCTTTCTGAGCACAAATGCCAGCTAACTTGGCTGAAATGAATTTTTCTGCATGCATGACAAGGAATAACCATTTGCATGCCATTTGCATATTATGCGATACCGGCGTTCGATTCCAAGTCGGGGATGAAGCATATGTTTCACGCAAAGGTCGCTCCAGAGGACGCCAGCGGCCTACGCCATGACGCTGGCCGTCTCGCCGTGTGAGATACTCACCACTTGAGGGGGGTACCGTCCCACTCGAGCCACACGTCGCTGCCCTGGTGGTCCGGGTGGACACTCCGCGAGAAGTGACGGCGCACCTGCCGACCGCATCACGGAGCTCAGAACATCACCCGGGTGGCGTTCAAAGAACACATTTGTAACCAACGCTGCCGATGTGCCTTCGTCCTGACGGCGATCACATCACGGGTCTCGAGGGAGGTTTATCTTTTCCAGGTGTCATAATCTCATGCGCCACAGCATATCCGAACAACCGCTGGCACGTGTTATGAACATATGCCAATTACATGTCATAGATACCATGACTTATGTCAATTAGCGCCACCCCTGAGACGGGAAGATAAGCAAAACGTTTCCGCGAAAGCCCCATAGGTTTCTGACCGTGACCCGTGAAAAAGACAGCCACATATCCATCAGCAGATGGCATAACCATACAGAAGCAAAGCAACGTGTTCTCTTAAATTTGGAACAGAAAGAACTGACCACTTTTAAATCAGCAGAAATCAGACAACTTTAACAACGGTACATACCCTGTCAATGACCAGTGGGAAGTAGGTCATCCTGGGCACGAGCAGATAGTAGGGCTCCGGCACTGACACAGTGTGCACCTCACTGTCAGCCAGGCGGAAGCAGACCGGCACGCGGCCCTCCCAGACGTCCCGCAACACCTGCCGGTCTTCCGCCATGGCTGCGGCCCCGCTCACGACGCCTGCAGCGAACCAACGCACGACGTCCAGACGGGCCCTCCCGCCACAGGAGACGCCATGCCAGCACGGCTGACGCTGCAGCGCACCATGGCGGAAATCACGTGGCCACACAAGTGTCACTCCAACACGACTCACGCAGCATATAAGAGCTCGGCAAACACTGGCCCATCACGTTCAATGTTAAGGAAACAATTCAACAAGCATTCATCAAGATAAACACACACGACCCTTCACAGCTGGCCTTTGATGGCCAACGAATCCCTTGCCTTACAAGCCCAACACAGCTTGGTTTGACGATATCTACTGACTTTCCCCCCCCCCCGACCCATCAGTATGTTGGTGACACCATCTCCAAAACTAAAATGGCCATTGGGCCTCTCTACCGCCATCGTGACTTCTGCCTCGATATATCTACATGGCATATACACAGTGTACATTTTTCCTTCATTTGACTATTGTGACATAATATATGATTTTAAAACCAGTGACACCCTTAGACCTGCATGACTACAGCACAGAGCATCCAGACTAGTCAATAGCGCACTTTACATCACACGCACACGCACGCGCACGCGCACGCGCACACGCCACACACACACACACACACTGTTGAACAATTTAAGATGAAGCACTATCAAGTCGTGGAGACATACATAAAGGACACTGTTCCACACCCTCCATCCACAACCAACATCAAGACCAACCAACGCTACTGCACTTCTACCGGACACACGAGCACCCGCAACAGGGCGTCGCTATGCAATGCAGGGGCACACATGCCACCAACGAACAGAATCGCAACATATAAACTCCTAAATCCCATCATCCACAAGGA